GCGCACGATTATAGCCGGTGACTCAGGGCGGAGCTCCGCGTCCAAGCCGGGCGGCCGCCAACTTCTCTGGATGGGACCAGAAGTTTCTAGCCGGCCAGTTGCTGCCTCCTTTTATCTCCTCCTTCCCCGTCGGCAGCAAGGAGGCTATTTCCAGACACTTCCACCCCTTTCGGGCCACGTCACCCCCTCCTTTAATTCATAAAGGTGCCCGGCGCCGGCTTCCCGGACACGTCGGTGGCAGAGAGGTCTCCGCGGCCGCGGCCCAGCGACTCGGCGCCCAGAGGCCCTTGCCCCCCGCTCTCCCGCGCCCCGGCACCCCGCGCCCGCCCTCCGGGCCGACCGCGACCAGCATGAGCGCAGCCACCCACTCGCCCATGGTGCAGATGGCGTCCGGCAACGGCGACCGCGACCCCCTGCCCCCCGGCTGGGAGATCAAGGTCGACCCGCAGACCGGCTGGCCCTTCTTCGTGGACCACAACAACCGCACCACGACGTGGAATGACCCTCGCGTGCCCCCCGAGGGCCCCAAGGTGAGCCAGGCCCGCGCCCACGCCCCGGCCAGTCGGCGTCCCCACTTGGGTGGCGGGCGGTGGCTACAGGGGAAGCTTCCGCAGCGTCCAGGCCCCAGAGGTGGGCCGAGGCCACCTTGGTGGTGGACGCACTGCCCCTGGGGGGGCACCCCTTTCGCCGCCCACCCCAGGGTGGCCTGGCCCCTCGAGCTCACCCTGCGGCGCTTAGCAAGGCCCCTAGGGATCCGCCCTTGACAGTCCTCACCGTGCGTATTTGACTTTGGGGGGGCGGGGGTGACCCGTGACCCGGCTCCCGGGTTCGCGTGGAGAGCCAGGGCAGCCGTGAGCCCCGGGCTCGGGAAGGAGTGGTTGGCGGGGTGGGCAGGCCAGCGACCCCCTCCAACTCTTCCACAGCGGACGGCACTGCCGGTCCATCTACTGCCCCCAGGTCTCTGCGTGTGGCGAGTGGTCTCCCTGGTCAAGTTGTCCTGACTCCTGTTTCTACCGTTCGGGAGGACAGAGTGACCCAGGAGGCAGATGGAAATAGATTCGTTTTTTTCCCCCTTCAGCTTTTGAGATTGCAATTGTAGGTAGTATCGATTGAAATGGTTTCCAGTAAGAATGTGTTGTTCTAGGAAGACTTCCAAAACCGCGGCAGTCCTTTCCTTGCCTTAAAATACTGCCTCTGCTTTATGTTCGGGTTTTTAAGTGACATACCTCCCCTGATTTGGGTATTGAAGATTTAGCTTTTGTTTCCAATGCACACATAAATTGAGTTGTAATACTCTCATTCTGGGGTTATGTCTTGTTTACATACAGCCAAGGCTATTACTCCGTTTACAATGAGTCTGTTAATTAAAAAAAATCTTTTTAATTAAAAAATGACTTGTGCCCCTCTTGGCAATTTTCTATAGATTTGAAATTATTACTCAGAACAGAAATTTTTGAAAATAAACGTATTTCAACGGAGGTTCATTGTGATTACAGTCTGGGTAAAAGATGAGTAAAAGCAGCCCCTCCACTGGCAAATTATTGTGAAGATGTACAACTTCAACAAATGAAAAATACTCCATTATTTTTATAGAAAGAGAAGACCTGAATTTCCCACTTTCAGCTTTTTTCATTTCTTAGGGGTTTTAATTTTTTTCAACAGTTTGATGGGCATATAATTCACATCTACAATTCAGTAATTCAGTCATATTAAAAAGAGTTGTGCAATCATCACTACAATGGAATTTAGAACAATTTTCTTCTTTCTTGCACTCACGGTTATTAGCCCACCTTCAGTTTCGTGCACTTTTGTGCCTCGAAGATATTGATAAGACCCTTGTACTCAACAGTGAGAGGAATTAATTGTTATATTTATTGCCGAAAATTAATACATGAGAATGTAATGAGCTGGGGTGGAAGACATTGTGTAGGTGTGTGTGTGTGTGTGTGTGTGTGTGTGTGTGTGTGTGTTTCAGTCATTTACTGGGTGAAATTTATGTTTATTTTAAGCCAGTCCCTTTGGCTTCGGTCTGCATGGACATAGAAGATTTTCAGTATGCTGGAAAGGCTTTATTTTGAGGCCTCTTTCTTTTAGAGGAAAGAACCCAGGGGCACAGTGGTTAAATGCTTGGCTGCTAACCAAAGGGTCAGCGGTTTAAACCCACCACCTGCTCCGTGAGAGAAAGGTAAGGCTGTCTGCTCCTGAAGAGATTTTCTGGATGGCTGGGGGGGTTGGTTATTTTGGTAGAGAGGCCGACCCAGCTGGCAGCCTTTGTTAGGAGTGAAGATCAAGTCTGAACAAACAAGGTGAGTGCAGTGTTAACACCCAGATTTTTCAACATGGAATTTACCAGCCAGTTGAGGTTACCTGCTGCTTCCTGCTACAGACCCCTCCCAGTGCATGCATACCTTACCGGCTGTGGTTCTGTAAAAGTTTGTAAGTAGGAGAAAAACAAATGGAATTGAATTGCTTATTTTTTTAAAAAGGAAAAGAAGAGCTACTGAGTCAGAAGCCTGGTGGTGGTAACAGACTGTTGAAATAGATAGGTCCTCCACAAGCACTTAGTTCAGCCTCTTTGTTTGATTGGTAAAGAAACTTCAGAGTTGGGGTGGGCTGTTAAAAGTCACTCCGTTAGTCCTGACAGCAAACCAACCTCTAAACCTCAAAGCCCCCCAGTTCCCCAGAAGAAAACAAAGTGCCGTTAACCGCTGGCATGAGCCAGAAGATGGAGAGTGGCTTGGATGTTTATGGAGCTGTGAAGCATGAAAGCTAAACACTTGATGACCCCCGCGTCCTCCGGTCCACTCCAAGTGCTGGATTACCGGCCTCTGTGCTTCGGTTCATGGGATGGTGATGACTGGATGTAATTAATTCAAGAAAAGCTCTGCTTTCCAATGGAGCTCCTTGAGATGCGGCTGCAGATGGGGAGGAGCAAACAGATCCGTCCCTCTAATTTAGGCCTTGTCCCTTTCAAACCTGGGCTTTGGATTGACCCACATCAGCTGGGTGACTGAATCCCCTTTGCAGACTCCTTGGAGGGTGCGATGGTTAATGCTCATAGAAAAATGGGAGGGTTGAGCCCCCCGAGAGGTCCCTCGGAAGAAAGGCCTGGCCATCTACTTGGGGAAACTGCCGCTGACAACCCCCTGGAACACAGTTCTACCCGGATGCCCATTATTATGAGTCAGAACGGACTCCGTGACAATTTTTTTAAATTCCATTTCATTTATGTGAATTTCACCTTCCTCCAAATTGATGGTATGGAATACCTTCAGTCTCATTTTATATTAGAAATGAGATTCTGAAGGAACAATGAGGGAAAGGGGGGTATAAAACGGTGATTTTGGCAGTGCTGAGCCCACGCCCACCCCGAGTGCCCTTTCCTTGAGAGGGGCATGCTGGGCATCTGCAGTTTGCAAAGTCAGCCTGGAAGCACTCTGCTCCCCAGTGGGTCTGGTCTACCCTTGTTGGTAAAGGGATAGCCAAAGAGTGGAACCTTCACCGTTTTCTTTGCAGTCTTTTATACTACGGCGTCTTACTCCAGACCTTCCTATAGATCAGTGGTTCTCCACCTTCCTAGTGCCGCGACCCTTTCATACAGGTCCTCATATTGTGGTGACCCCCCAACCATAAAATTAAGTTCGTTGCTACTTCATCACTGTTTTGCTACTGTTATGAGTTGGGGGATCCCTGTGGAAGGGTCAGTCGACTCCCAAAGGGGGTTGAAAACCACTGCTATAGATAGTCCCCTGAAATGGTTAGAGCGACCCTTGTCCCCACTTGTCCAGAGTTGGCAAGCGACAGCAGGAGTCTGGTCCTGGAGGCAAAGACCTACTAAACCCACTGCTGGTTGAGCCAATTCTGACTCATAGCAACCCTGAGAGGTTGTCCGGGACTGTGAATCGCCTCATGGGGCAAACAGCCTCGTCTTTCTCCACCGAATGACGGGTGGGTTTGAACCAGCTTATGGTGAGCAGTCAGTCCAGTGTCTGACCGATACTGCACCACCAGGGCTCCGTTTTCTACACACTTGGGCTTCCCATTCCTCTCCTGGCAGATTGTGACTTTCCCAGACCCCTGCCTGGTAGAGAAGTTGGCATTTGCTTCGCAGTCAGGAAATGCACTGTCTGGGAGCTGGCATGCCACCAGCTCTCACCAACAGAGACATGGCATGGCAGAGAGGTTCTGCCCAGGACCCAGGCCAGTCTGGACCTGGGGATTTTAGAGGCAACACCACTCCACTCCACCCCCCACCCCCACGGCCGACCTTTTAAGAACACGGATTGTCTGCTCTGTCTGTCCTTCCACTGCCCCTGCATGTCACATCCAACTCTGTGGGACCCAGTGTTCCCCAAGTGAGACATGCACCCCTGAGCTGATGACTCCAATCTGATATGTGGGAGCCCGATTTGCTGCCCGCCCTGTGGGTGAGGCCTGGAGACCTTCCTCTGACCTGCAGTGCCCTTTACTCAGCTGTGCTCCTCCTGGAGGAGACCCGCCCACCCGGAGTGCCTGGGCTTTTGGGGTGATGTGGAAGGGTGCGGGCGGTGCCAGGCACAGGGAAATGGTCCAATTCAGAAGGGGGCAAGCCTGCCGGTCTCAGTGGCTCTGCCCTCCTGGCAGAACCCCGCCCTGATAACTGGGCAGGCTTTTCCTGAGGCAAAGCCATCCTTCCCGGGGAAAACTGGAAATGTTTACAATTCTTGCTTGAAGCAGAGGGACCCACTTACTCCTCTTCGGGCCCAGAATGCCTCTTGAAGTTCCCCGTAAGGTGACATCATCTTGCTCTTTGTAGATGGATGGCAGGCCCTGGGCCTCCTGACAGAATCTGAGCGCAGTCAGGAAAGGAGTGGCCTAGCTCGCCTTCCCCTTCCCAGCACCGTGCAGTGTCCTTTCCCATCTCGGGGGCAGTGCTTGTTGGGGGGCAGGGTGGGGGTGGATAAAGAGAGGGCCAGCCACTCCTGGAGGCCAGCCCATTTGAGGAGGCCTCCATCGGTGTCCCGCTCCCCCAAGAACGGCCTGTGTTTGGCTCCTGCGAGAGCCGACTGTGACGCTGCCAACATAATCCTAAAAACCCAGACTCACTGCCACGGCGTCATCGACGCCCGCGAGCAACCCTTTAGGACAGGGTCGAACAGCCCGTGGGTTTCCTAAGCAGTAAATCATCACACCCCGTCCTCCCTCAGCACAGCTGGTGGTTTTGAACCTTGGACCTTACTGTTAGCAGCCCGACACGTAACCCACTACACCACCTATTATGCTCAGCCCTGTTTTGTTGCGCCAACTTGCCCTTTCCGAGCTCAGATGCCCGGCTGGCGGTGGCTGACGTGAGCCGGGCCGGGAAGGCTTCGCTGCCTGACGCTGTTGGCTCTGCGTGTGAGTCAGAGGGCTTTGCACCACCCCAAGCCTCGATTCCTGCCGCCCTCGCGTCAGCATTGACACGCTTCGGGTGGCCTGTGTAAACCACTCGTTATATTGGCTGGGGGATAGACGCTCAGAGAGACGGTGGTAATGGGTACCACCCGAAAGA